GTGCATGTGCGTGCACTGTGCAAATGTTTTATACTTGTGTGCGTGTTGATCCAAATCTCTCTGAAATACAGCGTAGCCATCACACATCTGGAAAATTTGTACATGTATTTACAAATGCTAATGCATGTAGTAATCTGTGGGAAGTGACGTCATTTGAAAGAAACCTACATGTACATGCATGCCTACTGTCAATGACAAAGCAATACGGAGTATGACAATGCCGGCATAATGTGCCCTGGTTTATGGAACCAGCCATTAGTATGTACATGTATTTGGCTCTCCAGAACCACATGTACTTCACTTCTGAAAGAGTTTGCCATGTGGTGTACCTTCAAATCTTGTCCCCCCCCCAAAAAAAAATTGACGTGTATGAAGACGGCTTGTAACTGTTGTCACGTCAACGATTGTGTTAATGAAATGGGAAAACTGAAGTTGGAAAAAAAAATGATCTCTCCATGAAAGCATCTGAGTTTACCTCAAATGTACTTATTTACATGAGCACAAACCCACGAGACAGAGCCTTATTTCCACTCATCCCAAAAGTTTCCTGTCAACTTTGTGGAGTGACAGTAGGACACAACCGGAGTTGTTTTAACATTTGCAGCGACAGCTCTGTTAATCTGATATTGGGTAAAAATAACCTGTTTGGATGGCAGTCATTGATTGGAATTCGTGTTCGCTGCAACGGTCATTGATTTTGGGGCTGGTAGTTTCCCACAGATGTTTTTCTTATTCTGTTGTTGCTGTCATATGTGAGAGCTGACATCATGTTTGCCAAGGCTATTTACTTGAAGATTCATTGGATAGGATACTGGACTCTTGGTGTTGAAATGATATCAGCTCTTGTTTGGAGTGGTTGCAAACATTATTCATTTGCAATTTCAGTTAAATCTTTCTATAAGTTAACCCATGCATGGGAGTTGAAAAGCAATTACGAAATGATGAATATCATATATGTTTTATTCTAGTGTTTGTTAGGTTCTAATGATTGTAATAATTGTGAACGTGAAGAGGTAATGTTAAACATTCCGTTGTACCGTAGTTTCTCAGTGTTCTCAGAGCCTTATTGGGAAAAAAATGTCTTGAGTCAAATACCAACTTGAAGGATCTTGGATTCCAATTCAATCATTCGAATATTGACAGTTGATTTCTGAGGGATTGCTAAATGAAGGTAGTGTTCCCGTATGTGAAAGTGCAAGGATACAGAGAAGGAAATTTCCACCACTCTTAATGAATCGGCCGACCTCATTGTAGGCCCTACTGCCTTCTGAGGTTTTGACTTCCCTTTGGTGGCATTTACATGTACGTTTGCGAAGGCAAATGATGTCTTGCACTTCAACAACTCCAAACGACCTCAAGCCGGCATCCTCCTCTATTGGCGCTTGGGGCAGGAATTTGGTCTCTCTCTGTCTTTCTCCCCTGACAAATAAAATTCTGTTTCTTCTCTCTGGTCCTCCTCTTCGGCTTGTATCAAGCCTGTCCAATAAACGAATGGCCAGGAGGAACGTTCCATGTATTATCACCTGTGCTAGTTGTGTGCGTGGGGCCAGATTTATGTAATTTCCCTTGATTGGAGTGAGTCTTCTAAGCCTTCTAAAGTCTCCGTTCTCTCTGCTTCCCCCTTCCCCCCCGCGGGAAAAAATCTCGGTCATTTCGAGTGCTTCATTTGATGTGGTACATTTATTGCTTGTCCAGCCGGCAGCTCCCCCCCTCCAGAATTCTTAAAAGTCTCCTGCCACGATTATTATCGTGCCGCTCTGCATCTTGAAACTGATAGAAGGGGAAAACAAAATAAGAAGGGACCACTTGTCTGAAGCACAAAGTAGAAGAACTGTTTACATAAGAGATTCCCCCCAAGAAATCTGTCCTTTCTCTACTACTTTTTCTCTGAAACCATTTTTCTCACTTTTTCTACATCTGCAATTCCTTAGACAACTTAGTGTCCATGGGGCAGTTGTCAGTCATTGTAACAGCTTTTTACCCGTGGGCACTTTTTTTTATTTCATCAATCCAGGAGCAACATTGGTACTGGTTTGTCTTATTAGCCCAGCTCCAATCTCACTGCCGGTGCCCTGATGTGTGACCCAGCTGTCGTTAATTGCTTGTAATTGCCCAGCACCGGCCTGTACGCAAAACAGACCCAGAAGCATAAGATACACACGTGGCCGTGCGTCTTCAATATTTGCAGCAGGAAAAGTGCTTGTGTACCCTTCACTGACATATCAGAAATCTCTGATTGATTGGAAAAGGAAATACATGTATCAGGGTTAATTGAACTCATAATAAAAAAATATAAATATATCTTTTTCCTTTCATGAAACAGTGTCACGAATAGCAAAAGTGCAGTGTAGATTTATACACTAGACAGATACTTTTACGTATAATACACTGTATATACTTTTTAATTAAGTTAGTTATAAACATGGACATGCACAGCTGATAGTAATCCTGATAATGTTTAATGACAGACTAACCCAAATCAGCTACCGGTAGCAACTAAACAATGCTATTGACATGAGCATCTCATGCAGCTGTTGGTTCCGTCTTCTCTGTAACTTTTTAGAGAAGTCATGACTAAGCCTACATCATTGCTTATATACATTGTATAAGGAAGGTGTCTGATGTGTCAGGTGCATATCTTTGCAATGCCTTCACAATGGTGAGAAGGAAAGATGATGCAAAGGATCTGGGATGGGGTTTTTAAAGGGAGGCACTGAATGATTTTGTGGATTCTCCCATGGTACAAAAGGAAATTTTGGGTATTTCTGACCAGCGGCCTTATGAAAAGAAACATCCCTCCAGTATCCTAGAGTCTTTTTGGACAGCAGGCCAATGAAGCATCAGCTCTCTGGTCTTCATTTCACTGAAACTGTTGGGCTATAAATGCACAGCTGAGGAATCCTTTTTGGCATCCAAATGTACTCCTTCCACTTACATTGCTCTAATTCAAAGACCATAAATGGTAATCGGAGAAGGACACAACAATTTCCAGAGAGTAGACTCTTTCTCGTCCCACCAATTCCCCCTCTCTTTACCCCTTAATAAATCGCTCATGGAGTGGCTGGAGTGCTGTAATCTGTGTCGGCGTTGGCTCTCTTTTTTCCCGAGCCACAACGGAAGTGGGCACTAAGGAACTTCATAAGAGAAGGTCCTCGTGGGATCATCCCTGGCCTGTTGTCATGTAGCAATACTCCGCTGTGGTCGTGCACACACATACCTGTGCCAGGCAACAGATCTACAGTTCGTTGGTCTGTTCTCCTGGGATTGAGTTGTGATGGAAACGAGATACATCCGAGTCATTGATAAGAAGTGCTGGTTCTTGTCGTCATGGAGACCAGTGCTTTTTGTGTATTTTATATTTTTATTTAAGATTTCATCAGCAGTCCTGATCAAGAAATTCTTTAAATCCAAATTTTATAGTTCTGTAAAAGAAAGCGACATCTTCCATAATTTGTACTTAGTAACCTTTTAATCGATATAAACCTCTGACACATTCAGTGAGCAGCTTTTAGTTGAAGAGTCAAACCTAGTGTTCCATCAAGTTCTCTGTAGTTGTGCTACAGAAAAAAACGCCCAATTGGTAGTAGTATCAATGCTGTTTCTGAGGTAGGGAACAACTTTTTTCCTGTTGTATTCATCGCCCGAGTTTGACATTAGCTTAAACCCAGCTGTTTGTCAACTCGGACATGCCAATGGGGGAAATTGAATTGGTCCAGTCAAAACACCCGACCACAGAGTGCATTCTCAATTAAATAATCTCTTGTCACATCTGTGTTTGAATTGCCCGTAAAAAGACAAGTCCCTCGGTGGGAAATGTGATGAGAGGAGTCCGGATTGGGTGGGGGGAAAAAAAGAGAGACGCAGGTTATAAGATGTCAGTTATATCTCCTGATGGCAAGACATTCTAATAACATGAGGATATTGCACAAATCAGCCTAGAAACATACCCCTCGTCTCCCCCAAACTGTCTTTTGTCTTTTCCAGCAGAGAGAGCTTGATGCAATGAAAGACTAGCTTTGAATTAAAGATGAGGTGATGTAGTCAGAGACTCCAAGATTCATTTTTATATTTGTTGAATGCTGTTATTTTTGGGGCGAGTAAGGTTGACTTTGTAAATCGATTCATTGAGAGACTCTCCTAGCTGGTTTTTAGTCACTTAACTTCTTTATTTTGATTTGTTAGCACCTGCACCTTTCTCTCTTTCCTGAAAAGTCTAGGTAGACTTTACAAACTTGAGAATTACCATAGTTTATTTGCCTTAGTTCACTGCTGCTTTCTTTAGTAGTCTCAAGTGGTTCTTAATTTTGTAACCTCTGCAGAATTTTTTTTAACTTGAATGGACGGGGGAGAGGGGGAGTGTCACCCCAAAGTTGAAATTATCATTTGTGGTTCCAGAAAAAAATGCATATATGAAGCTTTTCTGTGCTGCAAATCCATGTAGTTGTGAGGCCGTGTCATGTAATGGGGGCATGTGGCGTGGTGGTTGGGGTTTGTATTCCAATCATAAGGTCAGGGGTTCAGATCCAGTGACATGTTGTGATCTTGGGCAAGCCAGTCTACCCCTGCATACCTGTCTCCACCCGGGAGTAAATGGGTACCTGTGGCTGTGATTCACTGATTTGGCTATTTTGTAAAGTCGTTTGCATCTGATATGGCAACATCGGGAGGAGGGGGGAGATAGTATACTCCCTGGGGAGATGAGATGGCCTCAGGAAATGTTCAGATCCAGGAGATGCTCAGATGTTCAGTAAGCAGGGATAATGGTAATATAAGCACCTCTGAATGACACACACACAGTTAAAAACATCTACTGTGCGCCTTATAGATTTTTTTCTAATATTATTGCAGTCTTCTCCTAACAAAGGATAATGCAGGCTCAGAGCATTTGCAGCTTCTGTTGACCAATCACAAATCTGTACCCATAGCCAGGAATGGCAAGTACATCACTTGTGTTAAATTCTGAAATTCCTTTCTTTGTGTTTTTCTGTCTATTCATTCAGTGTAACCCCGGTCTGGGTACCAACATCTTCTACAACCTTCTCTACCATGAGCCCATCAAGATCATCATGCTGACTGCCTGCAGTATCGTATCGTCAGCCGTGGCCGAGGCAGCCAAGATGTGGAATCTCATGGTGGTGAGTGTACATACAGCTCTGTCAGCCAGGCTACCAGGGAAGTAGAGGTTTATAGCGCCTTGGGCGAATATTTGAGAAGAATGGGGCATATCCTGGAGATCAGATCATGTGGGACTCTGATGAGACCGTTGATTATTGCCCGATTTGTGATGCGTGCAGGCAAACCCCCAGGATGCGAAATGCGTGAATGATGTGCTAGTTTTAGGGGCCTGTACATGTACATGTATACCTAAGGGCTAAGTGTATGTACGTGGCTATGCTGGTCACTGAACACCAACAAACCCTCATAAGCAGTGCGTTATTCAACCTTATTTAAGATTGGAATTTTAGTTTGGATTTCATTTCATTGGCACTTTTTGTTCTTTTTCAGGTTTTTCGTCAGAGACAAAATTCACTTCCGCTAGAAAACTCTTCGTGAAACTCTCTGGTTTGATGTTCTCTTCATTTTGTGGAATTTTAAAATACAACATTTTAGAATATTTTTCAAAATATTTCTCTCAACCAACCATGTCAACTGAGATTTCATCATAGCCACTGCCTATTTAATCTTGCTGAAATTGGAAGTGATGAACATTTATTCCTATTAACTTCCAAATTAGAGCTCAGCAAAAAACACACTATGTAGAACTGAGCTTAATATTGGAAGCTTGCAGAATTCTTTAAAGTCAAAATCCCCAGGTGATGATCCCAGTCCTGGGGAGAACCTTGGACAAAACCCTTGACAGAGCCCTGGACATTAGTGCTCTTTCAGCTCGATCATTTTAACTCCCACGCATACTGTACCAATAAATCAATCACAAAAAGTAAAAACAAAACATACCCCAGTTTTCCAGCATGCTCAAAAATGCTGTGATGGATTGATCCTTGGTATTTAATAGCCTGCATAAAATATGAAAAAAAAAATTGAAAAAAAAAAGGAGGCGATCACTTTAAACTTACCAGCAATTACAGGCACCACTATTGATGTCTGTGAAATGTTAATCAAACGAGAGGTTAATGTGTCCGCAAATTAACTTTACATCAATACATGTCTATTTGATTAGCGCTAGCTGTATTGATCTGTGGAGAAGGCACATTTTGGGAACAAGGACTCGTAGTGTTTTTTCTATGTTGAATGTGTGCTCTTCGGTCAGTGCAATTTGGTTCTTCACAAAGTACGTGTAAACCCTGCAGCAGATGTTTTTTTTTTATGTGTAACATTTTGTACAGCTGTGTCACATTTTCTCACTTTTGTTTCGCACATGAAGCAGAGGCCCTTCTTAGACTGCGGAGTCTTTGCTATTGATTTGTTGCCCACATTCCATTTTATGCACAGTTACCTGCCAAAATTATTGATATTTTTGTTCAACTTATTAGACAACAGCTAAACAGGGTGCGTGTTGATGTATCCATGATGTTTAGCACAAAATATACCTGTGACAGTCTGCTGCGTGTGGAATGATTCTGTCGCATATTTTGCTGATCTACTTGTCTGTTTTGTATTTGCTTTGACTTGAGTCCAGCTTGCCACATTGGAAATTGGTGTGCAGGTTTTTTGGAGCATTTTAATAAGAGGCAGAGTTGGCAGACCTAAGGGGGTACCAAGGGGGATGGTCCTTGGATCTCTCCTCCTTCCCTTCCACCCCATCACTCTGATTTCGCTCAGTTCCTCCTCAGCCCGAACCCCCCTCCCATCTGCAAAGAAGAGAGAGACCCAGGGGGCCAGGTGCCCAACCAAAGTTTGTACATTCTGATGAAAATTGGTCGTGTGTGCCATGGCTCACATGCATTGTGTCACCCCCCCCCCAAGGGATGTCGGGGTAAAAGCAGCTGTGCACCCATGCGTGCCAACCAGGACTTTTCAAGGAAGGGGGGGGGGCACTCAGTAGCAAACTGACCAACCATGTATAGTGGCAGGGGGTCAGTTCTGAGATATTTCTCAGCAGTTTCATGTTTTTAATCCCCTTTTCTCCTCTTTTTTCTCTTTTTGTTTTTTCTTTTTTTCAACTTTGTTTTCCGCTTTGTAGCGGGGGAAGGGGGAAGAAACAGGGGAGAGGGGGAGTCTTGCCCCTTATCCATGATACTCATTATTAAATGACGATTTCATACTGTGCCTACATGGGTACACCCAATTTCAGTGAAGAGTTGTACTGGTTTACTGTGCTCCAGTAGTCAGGGATGTGGGTTTTTTTTAAAGGATATGTTTGGATTTTTGAGTCCCAAATTCTGAATATTGAGACATGTAAACATTCAGGTTTTGCTCCCTTTTTTGCATGTTTTATGCATAAAACCAAGTGTAAGGTTCGCATGGTCATAGCCATTTGAGAGCGAACTCATGCCGTGAAGTGATGTAAGCCACGAACAGTGACGGTGTCGTCATTGTTACAGCATCCTTGCTTGATGTTTTTAAGTACTCCTTATCCCATTCTCAACCAACCAGTGGGGTTGTAAACTTACAGTGTAAAACCTTCAATCTACTCATCAGCTTCTTTAACTCGGCTTTGTCGTTTATCTAACACCAGATTGCCTTCGGTTCAAGCTCTCCAGCCCTCTCCAATCGGGACCGGTTTCCCACCTTCTTCCGAACCCACCCGTCCGCGACGGTCCACAACCCCACCCGGGTCAAGCTCTGCCAGAAATGGAACTGGAAACAGATCTCCTTCTTGCAGGAGACTCACGAAGTCTTCACCTCAGTAAGTCTTCAAGATACAATTAATGTGGTTTTATCACAAGAAGGTTTCATTTCGTTAAAAAAATACCCAACTAAAAAGGCAGAGCAGCACGGACTTGATATTACGCAAGCAGGTTTCCTTTTGCTTTTGCATTTTAATATTGCAAAGAGGAGCAAATGAATAATAAAAGAATTCTTAATCACTTTAGCAGTTGCTTTTGAGTTTGAATGTTTGGTACAGTTTCTCATATAGCTGATGGCAAAAGCAGGTTGACTTCACAGGTTCTAAAATAAACTGTGGATCCAGACATTTGATCAGGGTTCTTAAACCTTTGACAACACTTTCCTGGACAGTGACCTAAAAGTTTGACCTGTGGGCAGTTACCTGAGTATGTGGATGCCACTTGACCATTGGTCATTCTGAAAGTGTCAAATAACTCCAGGCCAAAGGAAATTTTCTATTTTAAAAAAAGGAGAAGCTAGTGGACGCTGAAGTTTCTGTGAGGGAAGTTATCATTATTATTATTATTTTTTGTTATTTTTTTGATAACAAATTCAAGGATTCCTCAAAAGCACCCTAGGACACTGTAGCTCGCAAGCCTGAAGAAGCTTGAAGAGAGGAGACAATGAGAAGAAGTTACAGGTTTAGAGGTTGGAGGAAAATGCCAGAGGAATATTCTGGGTAAAACCCACGGAATCGGGTAGGGACCGAAAACCCAATCCTCGTGTGGACCAAGCCGGGGAAAAAAACCTGGACTGCAGAGGTGGAAGGCAAGGAAAGAACCACCATGCCAACCTGACTTACCTAGGGAAGGATGTTTGATGTGCTAATTGTGCAAAAAATACCTGCCAAAACATATGGACTAGTACATCGCTATTACTAGCCCCGGTTAGGAGACCAGCAATTCCTGATCAACAATGCTTCTTTCAGTTCTTAGATTTAGATGTTACCACCCAATCAGAGGAAATTAAAGGATGTTCAGTTCGGAGCCGGGAGAAAATGGAAGGTCTCTGTGCATGCCTGGATGTACATGTACATCCATTGAAAAAGATGCAAATGAAGAATATTACCATACTTGAAGATATTTTACAGAAACTCAGTCTTAATTGGTGATTCACAGAACAAAAGGTCCTGAGTCTTCATCAGTGTGTAATAATATTTTGCACCTCAACTTTAAAAACCTGAATTGGTAGAGTTTCCAGAGGAAGACCGAACATTGTGGAGCACAGTGGAGCTGGATTTTCCATGGTGTAACCTCTTTGACTCTAGAGACACCCCACCAGCCCCTCCCTTGCCCTTCTCTGTCCCTCTTCATATGTAGCACGGCGCGTGTGTGCACAAACGACATCTGTTCCCCCCCCCATATTTAATGCCACTTCTTATCTCATCAAACAGCAATCTTCCCCAGCTCTCAATATTGCCCCGATGTAATTCTTCATCCCGTATGGCTATTGAGGCATGCAACCCAAAAAAAAAAAAACACACACACACAGAGGAAAAGAGAGAAAGAAAACACTCATTGACCCAGAAGATATTAAGCGCAAATTAAAGCAAAAGGAGCCTGAGTGATGACAGGAGTGATGCGTTCCAATGTGGCATTATGCCGTCCCCATCCCCGTACACTGAGCAACGTAATTAGAGAACGGTGCACTGAACTGGGTCAGGACCTTGGCTCAGAGCAGTGCATGCTGTAGCCTGGATGCCAGTGGCGGCAACCCCCCCAGCAAAATCGCGTGTCCACTTCCCCTCTTCTCTCCTCCTTATTGTTTTTTTTTGTCTTTTTTGGGGGGTTGACCCATTGTGGCCTAAATTTTTCTTTTTCATCCGTCCCTTTTACCCGAGCACATTCTGATATCGGTTGGACAGCCATGTTTTCCAGTGCAGGTTAAAGCTAGACAGTCAGCAAGGGAGATGAGGCCATCCTTAAAATGCTCTTACAAAGATACGATTTCCTTGGAGTCACATGCAAACTCAATATCACGGACCACTGTGTGAAATATGAGCTACTTTCCTGTTTGTGTAATGCTACACAATCTCTGAGCAGTCCTTTGACTGCCTGTTAGTCCTTGATTTCCTGAATCTTCTCATTCGATCTCAATTGAAATGGCATTAAATGCGTGTCAAAATAAAAAAAGTCATCATCTTTTTACTAATGTGTACACTCTACGATGGGATGCCTGGCATGAAAGAGTAGAAAGGATTTGGTTTCAGTATTACATTTCATTAGATTTTACTGAAGACATTTGCATTTGATTAGAAGGTTTGAGCATACGGGATTTGACACTGCAAATCTCTGATCAACCAGAAATAGGAATGATAAATAGATTTTGGTTTATCCACGTAGTGAAAACCGTTTGCTTTTTCCAGGGGCATCAGCTCACCATGCGACAAAATTTTTTCACGTTGGTCAATTCAGTGTTGACGCATTGTATGGGAATTCAGGTATTAAAAGGAGTAGTCACTGACAGACTCCTCTTGAATGAGATCGGCCTGGAAATATGTGAACATTGTTTGCCGCAGCCCTGTAGAGGGTTGTATCGCTGACAAGAGCGGCTTTGGTGACCTGATTAATGGCCTTCCAGGCCAGTATGTGCAAACAGTTTATTACCACTCACCGATTTTTCCCACGAGAATAGCTTGTTTCCGAAGTGGGAAATCCCAAAAAAAGGGAAAGAAAACAGTGTGCCAAGTGTATCAGATGGACGCTTGGATGTTTGTTTTTGTGTTTCTGGATGTGGGGGGGAGAGTTGTCCCTGGCATTTGTAGGCTGTAATCAGGCAAACTGTGGCAGTAGAAGATCATTACTGTCGGCCCAGCCGAGCAGAAACCAGCCCGGTCCCACCGTACCGCTAAAGACGCTGATTAAAAACAAACACAGTGGCCCCCCGGTTGATGATGGTGTCTCGGGTAAGAGGAGCGAGGGTATTGGCTGGCGCTGTGGGAAATGTGCAGGTGTTGCTGATGCCATGGCGATCAAGGTGCTTTCCCCCCCCCCCTTTTCTGGCATGGTGCGTCAGTGTCCCTTCTTTTCTGTGCTGTGTGTTTGACGTCGACCCCCCCACCCTCACAGAATGGGGTTATCTCATATATTGATAATGCGAACAATTCTGTGGCCTGCACATCACTATGCAAAGGCCATTGCACAAGTCTAAAATTGGCGTCGTTTGCAGTGCCAACAAGCCACATTGTTGTCATCCATATTGGCAGTACAGCAGAGCCATATGCCTCAAGGAAGGTAGCAACGTGGGACGGCAGCATTAAGGCTGGTTCACACTTCAGCCAAACGCAAAAAAAAAATGAAGTGAATTTGACATCGCAAAGCATTTGTAGCAAAATGTGCCTCAGGCGACATCACTTGAGATGAAATTTGCTTGAGTTGTTCAATTTTTATGAATTCGCAGCACAAATGTTTGATTGGACGTCACAATTCGTGTTTACTTTCAGCATCTAGTTCGATCCGGTTTTAAATGAAAAACAGTATTGAGTCAAATGGTGACTCTGAAAAGAAGCCTGTTTACTTACACAGTATGCAAACATAGGCATAGGCTTTACCATTGGCCTCAGCATACATTATTATTTCCAATTCGCAAACTAGTACGAGGAGATTTAGAGTGGAAAAATGCCCTGAATGCAGGTTGAAATACATGTACTTTGATTAAAGAACTAGTCCAGCCGAGTCCTGAGTGACATCTCTTGCTGTTTGGATAGATTTTAGCCTGATTAATCTTCACCGAGTTTCACCGAGGGAAACTGTAAGAGAGAAAAGCTGTGAAGCTGCTTGCCTAAAATTAATGATACCTGTTTTCATTTGTGCACTGCAAAACACTTCCACATGGTACTGTCCTCTGGATGATGTTTTTTGAGATGTTTCCTTTTTTTGAGGAAATGCTTTGCGATGGATCATTGTTGCACACAGTTTTCGCACTCAAACAAGATTGCTATCAAATATCTTTCTGACCTATCGAAAAGATTCTCCCACTCTGCCCCTGCAGGGTGCCTGGATTTATTCAAGCGGGCAAAGGAATGTTGCACACTATACCGAGTAGCAATCAACTATGGTGTCAAGTACCGTCTAAGTAAATTTCTGTCACTTCATTCAACTCATTGTGGAAGCACATAACTCAAGCACCCGTGTAAACATTCATGTAATTGTTCTTTTCTAGAAGCCCTCTGCTTTTGGTCATTAGCATCTTCCATCATATACACAAGCCGTAAGTAAACAGTTTCGTACAAATCGTTGCAGTCCCAAGGAAATGATACCATGATGCAGGTCGAAGCCAAATTGCTAAAAGTATGATTCAAGGTATTGTAGACTTTAGATTTGTTTTAAGAGCAAATGAAATGGTCACATAGGGTTGGGTCTTCCTTATTAATGACACACCTTTGTTACTCTGCACTAGGTTATTTCATATATGCTCTTTTTTTGGCAAAACCCGAGCTTGAAACTAATTAAGAATCATGCAAGGGATTCTTTCCCACTGTTGCTAGTTTTGTTTGTCAGCCCAGCAGTGCAGTAGGCTGATGTACACATTGCGTGCCCGACTGGGCCGGAATCAGACGCCAGGTGTTATGTAAGAAAGGGAATCAATGTTCTCCCCAGCCTAGCGTGAGGCTGTCGATATTTGCTCGTATTGGGTTTGCGGGGTCGGTTGAACGCCAATAATGGGAGCGGGAAGGGTGCAGGAGTCTTACGGCAGGTGCTTGGAATTCTGCCCTGTATTCCGTCTGCTCCAGTTGAGACGAAGTGCAGCGCATTGTTCAGTCATTGCCTTCTCTTCTTTCCAATTTTTTTGTTTGGAGAAGCTCAGAAGATATTTGTGTGGCAAGGAATACACCTGCTGTGTGAGTGTTGTCTATCTTGGAGGGCAAGGACAACTCGTTAAACTTTCTTAGGTTTACTCTTTTGAGCACTCGTACTGTTGTTTAAAGTGTGTGGTCTGCAGTGAGTGTGCTTGATGCTTACAAATTGCAGTTGCAAGTTTCCTCACAGTTTGAGCCCCCCCGTGCAAACAGGATACAGCAAGTTTTTACATAGCATAGGTGCCCATGCAGGTCCTTGTGAAGAGCGCGGACCATGCATGACCTCTCTGTATTGGAATGAATAGTCTTTGCATGGGTGCTGTGTACCCATGTAAATTGGTCGCCCACCAGTGCGTGGTAGGGGAGGGGAACGGGTACATCAGGAATATTGACTTTGTGCGTTAACTCCAGAGGGCGCCATGCAGCCACATTGGACTCAACTGGCTTTGGCTGGGAGTGACACAGTCAGGTCAGGTCTTCGCCCATAGAAGTTGCACCGAGACCTGCTGAAATTAGATTTAACCAGAGCTGTAGAAGCCTGTTTCAGACACGGTCCTAGTATATGGGATCTTCAGGAAGTGGCTGAAGCTTCCAGCCAGTTACTTCAAAAGGGGAGTGTGTTTTTTCTGTACACACTTGGCAATCAATATACCTGTACCAGGGAAAGCAAGGTTTTTCCTGGTCCCTTGATTATATTGAAGGTTTTAAAAATGGCACGAGCCAGTCTAGAAGTACAGTACATGTAAGAGCTCTTACCTTACTTTCTGGTATGTGCTTTTATCATCAGATGACATTCAAAGGTATGTTGCATACCAGGATAGTATGCACATTGACAGTGATATGTTTATTCCACATTTACACTACTAAAAAGCCGTAGCTGTTACGCCTATACATCAGTGCACGCCATAAAAAATTCCAGCGCACCGAGTCGTCGCCACACAATGCTCTCACATTCAGTCCACCCTCATGTCGGTCGCTTACCCGAGATGCTCCAGCCAGGGCTTCAGGGCGGACACAATGCCGAGAGGTGTCTCGACCAATTTAGCAGTTTGCCTCTGACGTTAATCGCACGGCAGAGGCCATTGAGCTCGGATTGTTTGGGGGGCAGATGGCTTTGCGTGATGAGAGGGGAGCCATGGTTTCGCACCTCATCCGAGATGAAAGTGCATGGGAAGGGCACATCATGGCTGCCACACAAGAGTTAAACTTTGAATACAAGATGTCTCCTGAATATCAGCAGGGGGAATCGAAGAGCATGCTTATCTTTTTTTCTTTATTTAATAGGTATGATAGGTGCAAACAAGTGCAGCAGGCAGGGGTGAATCCAGTATTCACAAATTGGAGGAGGGAACCTGGCATTCTCGAAAGGGGGAGGGGTGCCCCGAATGGAGATGAACCGAAACATATGAGGGGATGATATTAAGCGATTCAATTTTGATTTTCAGTTTTTAGTAGGTTAACCAATGAAATTTTTAATTATCCACCAAAAACAAACTCACCCCCCCAAAAAAGTGAATGTTCCCAAGTCTGTCCACAGCCATTTTTCAAATGACATCCCTCCACTTTTCCAGGCTCTTGGGACAATTTTTCAACAGCATTTTTCTATGCTTTACCCTGGGATGGGAGCCCTTGAATCTGGGTAGTTCATTCTTGGCCATTCTATACACAATCACACAATTTCTTGGGCTACACAATCCCCTCTTTTTCAAATAAACTGTAGGGGTACTTTTTGAGCACCTCAGCCTGGTGGAGAATTTCCCTTGAATTGGGCAGTGCACCCATAAAACAGACTGCCTTTGTTTACCACTGTCTTGAAAAAGGGCTTCTTTCAGGACTTTGGAGGTCGGAGGAAATTCATATGATGATGTTCTATAAAGGAGTGGGCACAAGACTTTGCATTAAAATATTGACTGAAATTTCAAAGGCATATTTCCCAACAGAACACTCAATAAGAAGAATATTGTTTCAAATTTCAAGAATTTCCCTCCAAAATAGAGCATTGGTTGTGGCCTAAGGCCTCCAGACCCTCTCAAGACTCAAATTACAGGTCTCTTGCAACCTGCTCTCCTTCCCCCAAGTTATCTGCCAAGAATTTTTCACCAAAATTCTCACTGCAATTATTCATCACTGATGAATACGATATTTTTTCAAGATTGCAGTCAATATTCCGAGTACATTTGCTCTCAGCTCGAGAATGATGTTCCAGAAACCCAGAAAACAGCCACCCGTCGGATGAAGAATCTTTGTCAGTCTTTTTCTAGATTCGACTACTCTGTCACTAAAATAATCCCTTTTTTTCAGTATCAAGTGTATCTCAAACTTTTAAGAGACTGCAAAATTGAAAATTGTAGTTTTGATTACTCAACTGCAGACTGCATGGCAAGACAAGAATGCAGTAGTCAGCATATTTTCAGTATACATCTTCATTGGTTGTCCTGTTCCTTTTAGTAAAACTTATTTTCTTGACGTCACAATTCGGGATTTTTGGGGAGTCGGTTCAGAACTGAATCTGAGCTCCAAATGATAAAATATATCGTCTTGTAGTCTGCTTAGCTAAAAAAAACTAAAATTGGACTAGACTTCACTTGATTCCGCGGTTCAAGTGTTGGCTGAAATGAAGATCGAGAGGAACATTTAGTTGTTGTTGCTGTAGTCTTTGTCTTTGCTGAATTTGATTTGCAAACTTGTGACGTTTCAGATGTGATTATTGTGAGCAGTGAGACAAGGTATCTTTAAAATTACTAGTACATGTACATATAGGATCAAATCTGGGCTGGAGGATCAAGTCTAGGCATGTTAAGCCATGAATATATGTTTTTCAGCTTTTAGAGGAAGGGTGAATATGTCTGTATTCATTTTACTTTTACTGACTTGTACTTGAACCGGAATGGACATTGATCTAGTTTTCTTTAGATATTGAATGAGAAAATGAATGGAGACGGTTGTGCCGCCCTTGATCGAATTCCTATATGTAATACAAATTGTAGTTCTCCAATAATCAGTCTGGTCAAGTTTTTACCACGTCAAAGCCCCTACTGAAAATTACCCTGCAGCCGAATGCGATATTTTACTAGGGGATCCGGTCGATAATGCCGAGTGTGTTTCATCTCCGCTCCAGAAAAAGAAATTGTTTCAGAGAGGCAGCTGAAGCGTGAAGGGGAAAGTGGGTTTGGCGTTGCCGGGGGTTGTGCTCTTCATACGTCTGGGGAGAAAAATACCAGCACAGGCACCACAAAACCACTACAGCATTAATATATCATATGTTGTCAATTACTTTGGCCCGCTAGGCCCAAGAGCGACCTTTACAATTAATTAGTTTTGTCACCTGTTTGTTTGCAAGCACACCTCACGGCCTAATGGTTTTTATGAGGCATTTTCTTTCATCCATCGATGGTTAGGATTTTTTGGGGGGGAGGGGAGAATCGTGCTCACTTCACTGTGCCTCTGCATGGGCATGGATTACTTTAAATTTGGAAAGTTAATATGAAACAAACCTGATAGAATAAAAATGGTTGCTAAGGGACTACACATCTTTGCATAGAGTTTGTGACACAGCTGCAAGGTGGCTTGTAGCTCATCCTTACAGTGAGTAACTGTGGGTGGGGATACTCCCCCCTCCCCTTCCCAAAACCTGTGTCTCCCCCCCTTTGATATTATGAAATGTGCACCACCCATGTTCAAGTCACATTTCATATGCTTTCAGTGCCCTCCTGAAAAACAAAAGTGTGTAGCCGAAGGTGCCCCCCAAAATTCCTCCCCCCTCCTGTTTTGCCACTACATCCTCAACCTAAAAAAGGCCTGTTTTTAACTTATTTCTTCAAATGTGCATAGTAGAGCCACTCACAGGCTCATCTCTCTTCTTTTTCTCTATTTCAAACATTAATTTTGGATTTTTTTTGTCCTGCCCGACATGTATTTTAACACTGTATACTCAGTGTATGCCCCCGAAGGCTTGTGAAAAAACCACAAGGGTACTCGGGTGGGACTCGAACCCAAGACCTCCTGCTTACTAGTGCAGATGTCTTAACCACTCCACCACCAAGCTTGCCGGTGTCGGCTTGCTGGTTCAAATCAGGTGTAGCAGCGGGTACCTCGAACAACTATTTCAAAGATGGATTTGTGCCGGGGAGATGAAATTAATTTTGGAGGCATACACTGAGTATACAGTGTTAAAATACACGTCAGGCAGGGCAAAAATCCAAAATTAATTTCATCTCCCCGGCACAAATCCATTTTTGAAATATTTCAAACACGTTATGGATATGTACAGTTTCTGAAAGCGAACTGAGTCCAGACTTGTTTTGTTCTCATAACTAGTCATCATTCCCAAAGCATCTGGCACAAGAAACAGACCAGCTAGCAAGTTCTGCACGGTTGGTTAAATGCATTAAAATTGAGTATGAGTTCTCCTGCATATGAGTCTCTGCATATGAGTCTCTGAATCTTACCACCCTTTAAACTCGTCCACCTGCTCATCGGGGTATTCTTTCCCTCTTTTGCTCCTTGCAGACTATCGAAGACCTGGAGAAGCGGGTCAAGGATGCGGGCATGGAGATCTCCAGCCGGCAGAGCTTCCTAACTGAGCCGGACAACGCCATCCAGAACCTGAAACGAGAGGATGCCCGCATCATCATTGGCGTCTTCTATGAGGATATGGCACGCAGGGTCTTCTGTGAGGTTAGCCCAGGGGCCTCATTCCGTTTGAACTGTGCACGTCAAAATTGCTGGGTCTTGAACAGGCCTTCAGAATTTTCTGGCAAATTAGGGACTCAGTAATATGCTTGGTACATGTAGTTCTCAGATGGTAAAATGACGGAGATGCAAGTTGCTTAGAATTCCAAGAGCACAGTTCATTGACCCCTGTTAATCTTAGACAGTATAAAGGTTTTTCATGTGACGTAACATGACAAGCAAAGGCATTTCAGGAAGTGCACCGTGTCCGTGGATGCCCGTGCAATTTCTAATCTGTAAATCTCTGTTGGCATTTTCACCTACGCTAAAATAATGAGAGACTTAGAAGGCGTGTTTTTCTGCGCACATCTGTATAAATTCAATGCTGACTGTCAAAAACCATGCGACTGAAAAGTCTCTATTGGCCATGCTTTGGCAGTTCAGGTATTTGTGAAGACCTTTAAATATGCATGTGAATGCTGATGCAGGTGTTACCATCTTGTTTGACTAGTTGTTTTTATCCAACTGCTTCCACACAGGTGTACAAGCAAAAGCTGTACGGACCCAAGAATGTCTGGATGATCCTAGGCTGGTACCCGGACGAATGGTACAAGACTTCAGACCCGAAGGTCAATTGCACGGCTGATCAGCTTATGGAAGCCCTTCAGTACCACATCACCACTGAGGCGCTCATCCTCAAGCCCGACGACACGCCGTCCATCTCTGGCATGGTAAGAAGTCACACTTCATCTTCTCACTGGTAGCCTTTTGTGTAGCCCTTTATGCTGTCCAAATCACTTGACTGTCGCTTGAAATTATGCATGACTCTACTGAAGTGGCTGCGGTCACCACCATAGACTCATGTATAATTTCAAGCCGTATCCAAGTAATTCAGACACAGACTCTGAATCAACTGGCTGAAGCCACTAGCCAGGAACCTCCATATGCAAACCGACTGGCTGAAGCCACTAGCCAGGAACCTCCATATGCACATATTATTTTCAGTCACAGCGATGATATTTAGACAGTTTTAGACTGCATATCCCTCATACTTCATGCATGTAGTCTGTGATATAC